ATAGATGTATAGATGATATAGATGTATATATATATATATGTGTGTATGTATGTATGTATGTATGTATGTATGTATGTATGTATGTATATATATATATATGTGGATGGGTGGATGGACGTATTTATATATATGTGTATGTAGGTGTATAAATCTATAGATAAATCTATATCTATACAGTAGATATAAATATCATGATATAGAGATATTGGTATATATATATAGAGAGAGAGAGAGGTCTAGAGATACGTAGATTGGAACTTGATCAACAATCACTGGTAGTTCACCAGGAAAATGTGGATCTCACCGTCATTCAGATCATTCAGATCACAGGAATGAGGTCTGAGGTGAGCCCCGAACTGTCTGGAAACAACCATATGACTACACTGGTTGGTGGTTTTTCACCACCCCTCTGAAAAATATGAAAGTCAAATGGGATTATTGTTCCCAACTGAATGGAAAAATATTAAAAAAATAGTCCAAACCACCAATCATCATGGTTGCAGCAGTTTGAAAACTCTTCAACCAGTAAAGACGCACAGAAAGTGGGATGACCAGCAACAGGAAATACTGAACGGGACCCCAAAAATAGCCAAGAAAAAAAGGGGGATGTAAGTGACCAGCAAGCCAACCCTAAAATGAAAATTCATGCGCTCAATCTCAAGAAATTCCGTTAGTCGCTCGAGGGGTTCCTCGAACACTCACTACGGTTGCAAGGCTGTAGGGATCAGTGAAATGATTTCTCAAAAGCAGAAAAAATGGGTTAGGCAAAATGATTGGGTATCCACATATATATATATTATGCATTAAACCATCCATGATATTGGATTTGGGTATTACCATCTAAGAAATGTACCATACATAATATATCTATATGTTAGTCTATTTAGTGATTTTATATACATCTTGGTAGTACTATATACCTAATATACCTATATAATATACTAGTATATATACCTAATATATTAATGTATCACTAAATATCGTAGTTTTTGTGTACCAGAAATGATTTCTAAGCTCCCAACGTTCAGTAGAGTCACAGCCAGCTTAAAGTTATTACTATGGTTCATTGGAGGTAATAACCATGGTTTGTTGAAAACGATAACTGATAGTATCAATAACTGTTATTACTATGGTTCAGTTATTACTATAGCTCATTGTACAACTGGTTGGTGGTTGAGCCACCCCTTTGAAAAATATGAGTTCGTCAGTGGGGATGATGACATTTCCAAGTGAATGGGAAAATAATCCAAATGTTCCAAACCACCAACCAGATAAGGTTTCCATCCCATGATTATAGAGCTTCGACTTTCAACCATCCATTTGGTGGTGGATAGGTGGAACCAATTCAGCTGTTGGAGGTATAAATACCAGTATAAATATCTTTGTTGAAAACGATAACCACCATGTTTGGAGGTGGTTACTTCGCTAAAAGTCCTCATCTTTCTACCTCCCAGAGTACACCCCAACGTCTGGTCTGAGTCCCTGCTTCAATGTTTCTGGCTATATCCCCGTTTTGGGGTCCCTAAATCACAGTCTTGCTTGCTTTCAATTGTTCATCAAAACCCATGTTTGCTCATGAAATCATAACGGATCGTCATTGTCGGTTGAATCATTGCAAATCGTCATTTTTCTTGCTTGAATCAGAATAAATCACCCTGTTTCTTGGTTGAATCATAATTACCATTGGTTCAATCATCATAAATCACCATGTTTCTATGTTGAATCATCATAAATCACCAAATCACCATTTCTGCTTTGTTAAAATCATCAGAAATCTCCATGTTTGCTGCATCAATCCCGCAGCGAAATCGCCAGGCAACTCCTCCCAGTCGTTTCGCCCCCGCGCCCAACCTCCGGGACCCTTGAGATGTCGCCGCACGCAGAGCCAGCTGGAGGCCCATTCGCCCACGGGCATGGCGGAACGAAACCTGGGCACATGGCGCTGGTTTCGCCAGGGAAGTCACCATTCCCATGATGGTTTCACTGCTGTTTCACTCATCAAAATGGCTATGGATCAATACCTATTAATACCATTAATATAGGGGGTTATTCACATCCATATTAACCCAGCTATTTTGATGTGAACTACAGGGGTACTATAGGTTTTGACACACTGCCATATAATTTTGATTTCATAGGGATATAACCATCTATAACCAAAGTCACCATTCCCATGATGGTTTCACTATGTTTCACTCATCAAAATCATGTTTTTTGCCCATGAAAATGCTGGTTGTGGCCCTGCGGCTGCGCTGTTGTCTTGCTGATTTCCACGGCTCCTCCAATAGCTCATCGGAACGGTGCGCGCTAAGTCGCCGTTGAAGGTCCGGTGTGTATGTTACATTTCACCTGGATATGAGTACCCTCTGGTTATGTCAAAATAGCTATTGAAAATGGCCATTTATAGTGGATTTTCCCATTAAAAATTGTGATTTTCCATTGCTATGTTAGTTCACCAGAGGGTAAATTTGGATTTCTTTGGAGCTGATCCGACAGTCTGAAAACATGTCATGCAACCGGCAGGCTGTTTTGCTTCTGGCCCCTCCTTTGCGTTTCACCCAACCGAAACGGATGGGTTTTTTGCAGCTTGTTTCACCACGAAACCCAGCTTGAAGCTCGTTTTTGCCTGGGAATCCGTGGAAAAGTGTATGACCCAAGCTGGTTATGACATTCACAGTTTGCCATGGAAAATCCACCCATTTTTAATAGCTAAACCCAGTTGTTCACCATCTATTTCGATTAGGGCCATCGAAAAACCATGGCAAACTGTGAATGTCATAACCAGGTTGGGTAAATTGGGTCAGATGAGAATCACGCAAAACAAATGACCACAATCAATGGGAACCTTCACCAATCTTTATCCAATCAATTGGGGTTCCACATGAAAAGACAACTTTAAGGGAGTGTCTTAAAAAAAATGCCAGCACTAGCCACCCAGTTAGTTTCCCCAGTTTCCCCAGAATTTTTCGGCTTAAACATAGTGACACAGCAAGGCCCAAAAAAGATAGAAAAGTCAAATCCTACCTAGTCGTACTACCCGGCCTGGTAAACGTTTACATAACTGATGGGAAAATCACCATGCTATGAATGGGAAAACTCACTATAAATGGTCATTTTCAATGGCAAACTGTTAGTCATAAATCACCATGCTATTAATGGGAAAAGTCACGAAATTTCGATTGGGTCATGTTTCTAAGTTCGCTATGTCTGTTAGTCCGTCATGACCAGGCCGGGTACTTGGAAGATCATCTGACTAAATCTGCCTGGTGGAGGTCAGTCCCCGAAAGGCGGGGATTCTCCCATTGAATTTATGGCAGTTCACTAGCTTCCCGTGATTTTTACTAGTGGTTTGTTTTATAGCCAAGTCATTGATCACTATTAATCATTACTAACTACTATCAATCACTATCAATCACTATTCATCACTATTCATCACTCTTATATAATCCCATTGTATCCCGGTTGCTAACCACTTACGATCCATGGGATTCTCACCTATCTTCACAGAACCAGCCAAGGTTGCCGAGTGGCTTCATCTTGTGAGCAAACAGAAGTGCTGCCTGGAGAATGGAAGCACACTGTGTAACTAAGGGATCCTTAAAATGGTGTCTAATGAGTCCAATGGTTGTTTATTTCAAGGATTTATAAGGAGTATTTAGGGAATGTATAACCATGAAAAACTGGGACATTGGCCCACAATGATTCAATGAATGGAATTGGGTTCAATGGAAAATTACAGTTGAAACAATGGGGTTTTACTTCCCAACATGTCATGTTTTCTTGAAGATGTTCCATTCAACCAAGTTTGGTAGAAAACGTTCACTGTTCCAGTGCAGGATTTCAAATTGGACCCCTAAGCAAAGCTACATATCAGCAAACATGTTAGCCAAGACGTTTGGCTTTGAAATCGCACATGGAGCCAGATTGAAACCATGTGCCGGATAACTTTGTGAATCCTACTGGGGTGTGAAAATGAAACGCATTCAAATTTAGAATTTCGTATGTCCCCAACTTTTGCAAACACCAATGTTGCAATTACTGTACAACTGCTTACAGCACATGCCTTTGCAATGTCAACACCCGATTAAAGTCCCATGATTGGTTTGGGATGGACACAACTCTAGTAGCAAGCGATCGTTTTGGCGGCAACTGGTAAGCTCCCAAAAGATACCCTCTGGCAATTTAACATAGCTATTGAAAATAGCCATAGAAATAGTTGCTTTTCCAATTAAAAATTGTGATTTTCCATAGTTATGTAAACGTTTACCAGAGGGTAAACAATGATTTATTTGTGTGGGGTTGCCCGAATCAAGGCATTGATCAACAACTAACCAATCCCAATTTCTGGATGATATTCCTGTGTTTGTTGGATACCCCTTTTTTTCTGGGTCAAATTCCTCATTGTTGTTGGTTGAATTCACAATGTTTGATGATGAAATCAGTATTTTTGATGGCATGCTCAATGGGTCAAATAAGCAGTGGTTCCATCATTTACTGGCCAAATCCGCCAATTTTGCATTAGTAAAAGCCTCATAAATCCCCCCAATTTTTTTGGTGGTTAAAGCATGTCAAAGCCCACTTTCACTGCTTAAATCCTAGGTTTGGATGATGAAATTTGGTTAAACCATGTTTAACCATGCTAAATCCAAATTCAGTGTGCTTTGGATGATGAAATCAGTGCTTAAATGTGCTTAAAAACCACCCCTACTTCACCGCTGCCGCCTTCACATCAAAACGACCCAAAAGCCCCTCGTCGCCTGAGGCGGAAAATGGCACGAGGAGCGGCAGTTTTCAACCATGAAAACAAGGAAGGTATCGTATTGAATGGGATATGCATGGTGATTTAATGATATTTAATGGGGTCTTAATGGTGAATGAGAGGTGATTTAATGTGGTCTTAATGGTTCATGGGAGTTTAATGCCGATCTAATGGGAGGATTTTACCATCAAATATGTGGGCTTTGACTTTTAACCATCAAACATATGGTCCTGAAAGTCAAGCCTGACTGATTTTACCCACCGTAGACAACGTGATAATCGCCATTTAATCCGGGAGTAAATGAGTAAATGGCATTTTCTGGGATAAATAAATCATCAAGCTTGGCAACGTCGATTTCATTGAAGCAATAAACATATTGAAAATTGATGCTTACCCTCTGGTAAATAAACATAGACCCTGGAAATCACCAATTGTTAGACGAAACTAGTCTTCCAACCCCTATCTACCAGGGTCCATGTTAATTTACCAGAGGGTAACCAACAAAAGACAGATTTGCGTTTTGATGAGGCAATTCCTCTCATGACTGGGGACTTCATGAAGAAAAATCCGTGGGAAATTCTTCATCAAAACCGGGGCCGTTTTCGCTGACAGTTTGAAGCTCCAAAATTGGACCGTCCGCAGCCAACTCATAAATGGATAAGCAACAAAATTAGGGATCAAAAGCCAATAAACTGGATTGATGTGTCCAATCCATTGAACTTTGCTTGTCATTTTTCGGTGGGGGGTTCCCTCAAAACAATTCTGTGAGATGAGGTGAGGGACAATCCCTTGGGAACCCCACCATATCAAGTTGGGAGACGATGAACTTTGGGTTTGTGGTTTTCCCCGGACCGGTCCAAATCCAAATTGTAGGAGGATTCCCTCTCAGCCATCACAGGGCTTGGTCCGCCAGGGAGGTTGCTGCTAATGAAAAGGAGCTGAGTGACGGTAAACTGGCCATCTTATGTGCTAATGATAGTTTTTCCATGATCATTTACCAAGATGGTTGCTACAATTTACCATGATTCTTTTTGAGTTCGAGCCTTAACACCACCAGTATCTGTATATGTATATAGCTATATATCGGTGTGTATGTGTGTATGTGTGTATGTATGTATGTGTGTATGTGTGTATGTGTGTATGTGTGTATGTGTGTATGTATGCATGTCTGTCTGTCTGTATGTATGCATGCATGCATGTATGCATGTCTGTCTGTCTGTATGTATGGATGTATGTGTGTATGTGTGTGTGTCAGTATGTATGTATGTATGTATTTATGTATGTATCTATGTCTGTATGTATGTATGTATGTATGTATGTATGTATGTATGTATGTATGTATGTATGTATGTATGTATGTATGTCTGTGTGTGTCAGTATCTATGTATGTATCTATCTATCTATGTATGTATGTATGTCTGTGTGTGTGTCAGTATGTATGTATCTATGTATATATGTATCTATCTATGTATCTATGTATCTATGTATGTATGTATGGATGTATGGATGTATGGATGTATGGATGTATGGATGTATGGATGTATGGATGTATGGATGTATGGATGTATGGATGTATGCATGTATGCATGGATGCATGCATGCATGCATGCATGTATACATGTATGCATGTATGCATGTATGCATGTATGCATGTATGCATGTATGCATGTATGCATGTATGCATGTATGCATGTATGCATGTATGCATGTATGCATGTATGCATGCATGCATGCATGCATGCATGCATGCATGCATGGATGTATGTATGTATGTATGTATGTATGTATGTATGTATGTATGTATGTATGTATGTATGTATGTATGTATGTATGTATGTATGTCTGTGTGTGTGTCAGTATCTATGTATGTATCTATCTATCTATGTATGTATGTATGTATGTCTGTGTGTGTGTCAGTATGTATGTATCTATGTATATATGTATCTATCTATGTATCTATGTATCTATGTATCTATGTATGTATGTATGGATGTATGGATGTATGGATGTATGGATGTATGGATGGATGTATGAATGTATGGATGTATGTATGTATGTATGTTTGTATGTTTGTATGTATGTATGTATGTATGTATGTATGTATCTAGCTACTTTATCTCCCCACTTGAAGTGGTTATCTAGCCCCATTCAGTGTGAATATAATAACATCGCGTGGAAATAAAACACCACTTTGCCGTTGCCAACTGCTTCGCATCCCAGGGACTCTCTTCCCAATCCACCCAGACATCTGTCCTCGCCAAGACCCAAATGGAAACGGCTGACTTGGACATCACTCACAGGTTTTCAAGGGGGAGGCGGGATAAAACCATACAGTTCTTTCATTGTAGCCAGGTGGCATTGCTGCCTTTCGCATGACTCCAGTTTCTGGGTCTATCATTCCGGCCTTTTTGAAGCAGCATTTTCTGGGACCAGATGGAACCAGCCTCCTACATTTGGATGGATAAGTCCTCAAGTCTATCTCCCGAAGGAGAACCACTTGAAGAGCCATCTTTTTCGAGGCTATAGAGTGTCCGAAATTTTGAGACCGGAAAGAACTACCAGAATTTCTGGTTGCTCAAAAAAGCACGGAAAGCACGGTTGTTTCGGGTAGCCCAATTCCAAGAAGACATCCAATGATTCAAAATTGATGGTTTTGACCAATCCCCTTTTACTTTTTCTATGACGTGCAACAGGGGTCCCCTCCAAAAGGCAGTCAAAACTCCAAGATGTGATTGTCAATCAAGTTGAAAGCGCAAAACAGTTTGGTGGCACATGACTTGCCTTTCACGAATGATAGTGTTTCTCCAGTCTTACGCTTTTGAAATCAAATTGTTTGCCCTCAGATAGTCAAACTTGGCAATTTAAAATGTTGCCATGTTGAATTGCGGGTGATTAATTCAACCCTTCGTGTTTCACCAGATGATTCAACTGTCGTGGTCGGTGAAATCAGAGGTTTCGCTGTTACCCTCTGGTGATCTAAGATAGCGACAATGGCCTATTTCTAAATGGTGGGGGAAAACCACCAACTTAGATTACCACTATACCATATAGCTCTTTGGGTATATCTCCAACATATTTCCAACATATCCCCGACATATCTCCATATCTTCAAATCCCATATATATATATATATGATTAAACCACCATGAAATCCAGAAAAATCACCCAGAGGTTCATTGTAAGTCCCGAGTTCCTCAAGTTCGCCCAATTTTTCTGGCTGAACTCACCCCGAAAAAAAGCCCGTGGGATGATTTGTCCCAAAAAAGAACCTGTTTAGATTGGTGGATCCATATTGGTGTCTTGGTTAAATCACTTAAATCAACCATTTTAGATGGCATGTTTGATGCTTAAAACCACATTGTTTCCATCATTTACTGCTTAAAACCCTTTGAAATTCACCCATTTTAGATGGTGAAATACCCTAAATCACCTACTTTAGATGGTATTTTGTAGTGCTTAAATGCTTAGATCACCATCAAGTCACCATTTAGAATGCTTAAATCCCATGAAATCTCCCATTTTTTGGTGCAAGAAATCATCATCCATCGTGTCTGAGCTGCAAATGTCGCCCGAGGCCCTCGTCCACGGCCGAAGCGACCGCCTCCAACTCCACAAGGCCTACGCTGAACCAGCCATGACTGGGAATGGTAACCATACCACCATCCCTAATGGTGGTATAAACCATACCACCCTGGTTGGTGGTTGAGCCACCCCTCTGAAAAATATGAAAGTCAGTTGGGATGATTCTTCCCAACTGAATGGAAAAATAAAGAAATCATGTTCCAAACCACCAATCAGCACCTGTATTTAATATAATTTTATGGTTACCCCATATTTATACCACCCATAAACCATCCCCAATCCCTAATGTTGATAAAAATGGTGATATTCAGGATGGGGGCCCAGTTCGTTAGCTAAGTTGGTGAACACAACCATAATAACAATAGTGTATGATACTCTTAACTATATTTAGATGGGGTTATAAACCAACTTATAATTGGGCCCCATCCTGTAGGGGATATTATTAGGGATTTTTTGGGATCTATTATTGGGGATTTTGACCATTAAAATGGAACTATAAAAAATAGTGCTAATTTGGCGATAATGAGTCATCATGTGAATACCAAGGGAGAATCTAGTCTAAGTATCAACAAAAATACCTTCCCGCTGGCATGATGCGGATATCAAAGCATAGTACCGCCACACTGCATACCATCTAAATTCAACAATCAATGTTTTGCTGTTGGCATGATGTCAAGAACAAACTATTACAGGTTGGGTTGAACAAAACATGTTTTGGGTTGTCTTCATGCTTCCCCATTGAGCTCACAGCATTGCTAAGCACTGTAGTGACTTAGGTTTCACTATGTTTGTTTGCTAAAGCTAGTATGATTGTGACAGGATTTTGGCCAAAAGTTGATATAGTTCTTGCATTTTTGGCAAAAGTGTACATAGTTCTTGACATTTGGTTAGCAAACATCAATATAGTTCTGTATGTTTTTCTCAATCCGTTTCACATGTTCAAATATAGTTCTAGTCATATCTCAAATAGTTCCAGTCACCCAAGAAATAGTTCCAGCTGGGTGTACCCCTCCTGACCATGGCCTTAGATAAAGAGTACAAGGAGAGTCCTAAATAATTACCAATAAAAATGATGATTTTGGAGGATATATTATTGGTTTATCGCACCATTAGCCACCATATTTTGGGGATTATATTTTCCATCCCTAATGGTGGTAAAAACCATACCACCCTGGTTGGTGGTTTTTCGCCACCCCTCTGAAAAATGATGGAGTTCGTCAGTTGGGATGATTATTCCATTCCCAACTGCATGGAAAAATAACCCATTCATGTTCCAAACCACCAACCATCATTTAAGTCCCATTAAGTCCCATTAAACTCCCATTAAACCCAGGTATAAACCAATCACCACCAGTATTTTATATGATTTTATGCTTATCCCGTATTTATACCACCCACAAACCATATGTTCAATCAATGTTGATCAACATGGTGAGTCATGGGGGATGGTTTATGGCATTGTTTTACTAACAAATCGAGAGATTTTACGGATTGAAATTTGGGGATTTAAGCATCAACTATCAATTGTGATGGTGATATGGTGTTAACCGGCCTGGTAAACATACAAAAAACTGATGGGAAAATCACCATGCTATTAAAGGGGAAATCCACGAAATAAACTGCCATTTTCAATAGCTATTTTGACATAACCAGAGGGTAATCCCTTCCCCCGTTCATATTTTAAACACCCCCGAGTTACGAAACACCATGGTTTTATGTTGGGAATTTCCGCATCATTGGAAGCATTGACAGTAGGTGGTGTTTTAACATTAGGGGGGTTGAATGATGCTCCAGTGAGATGATCCTCCAGGATAAAAACAACAGCAATATCTGGATATTGTGGACCAATGGGACTAGAACCATTAGGGATGGAAAATATAATCACCAAAATATGATGGGATATGATCCACTAGTGGATGAATGTAGTATTATTAATCCACTAGTGTGACAATATAGTATGTAATGGGATATTATTAACCATTAATGTGACTATTCTTTGGATATAATGGTTAATAATGGGACTAGAACCAACTTCAGAATGGATGTTCATGGATGATTCATGGAGAATTAATGGATATACCATCTGGTTATTTAACAGTTTGCCATGGAAAATCACCATGCTATTAAGTTCGGTAAGCCATCTATTTCAATGGGCCATCTATACCATGGCTATGTTAGTCATAACCAGAGGGGAACTAAGATAGCTATTGAACATGGCCATTGATAGTGAGTTTTCCCATTAATAGCATGGTGATTTTCCATCAGTTTTTTGTATGTAAAAACCAGAGGGTAACTATGGGTCCCATAACTAGTGGGCAGTATTTCTGTCTAAATCTGTCTTTTCGAGCTATAAAATCCACAATTTTTCACTGCGCTACGCTGACCCCGCAAGAGTTTCACGACTGGAAAAACCTCAGTCGCGCTCGACTGAAGAATTCTCGTGCCAAAAGACTAAAAAAGGTATATAACTAATAAGATTTTATAAGATCTCTAATGAATCTAATGGGTTTACTAAGGAGGGAAAAAATGATAAGCAGTAATGATATATCATGGGATATATTGAGGGATAAAACCAACAGTAATATGTGGATATTATGTGATATCATCCACATTAGTGGTTTATAGTGGGGCTAGAACCAACAAGAATGGATGATTCATGGATAATTAATGTGATCAATGGAGCTCTTCGTTCTTCTGGTTCACCTTGTCTAGTTGCTCCTGCACTTGCCTCAGGTCTTCCCGAGATGTTGTGCTTCCTGCACTTGTCTCCACCAGCTGCTTCCGAAGTATTTGCTTCGTCCTTCAGCCACGCGATCTTCTCCTCTACTTTCGCCGCGGCAGCCAGTAGCAGCCTTTTACGCTCTTTCTTGGGCAGGGCTTTCAGTTCCTCTTTCCTCGTTTTTGCTCTCACATCATCCATTACAATTTCGGAAAGCATTGGTGAAAATGAGAAAGGTTAGGCGAAGAGGTAGAAAGGGACGCACTCATCACAAGTTGCAAGCAGTCGCCCATGCGTCACCGCAAAACTGCCTGTTTTGAGGCCTGGTTTTGGAACCTCATTTTGCTCAATCTTGCGGGCCGCTTCGTGCTACTTTATTGCCTTCTTGGTTGGCGGACTTCGCTGCAACGCCTCAAGGTTGCTGCGCATGTGTTGGTCAAGTCGTGGTTTGCCGCGCCTCTTCCTTGCACCTTCAATGCTTGTCCGAAAAGTGAAAAATGCCCATAGAAGATAAACATTTTCTGCTGGCTCCCAATTCAACAGTTTACTTGGTTTCTGTAGTCGCCTTCATGGCTCAGTTGGTATGGCGTCACTCTTGTGTCGCTGACAGACTGCCAGTCACAAAGTTGGAACTCTTTCAACCCTTTCCCCATTGCAAATAGGGTTTCAGCAGGTGTACCGACTCCGCCCGACTCCGGCAAGACTCCGCAGCTAAAGACATCAAATCTGGCACAAAACTGTGGTAAAACGGAAGTTTTGCATCTCCAGTCTTCTTACGGAATCTGCTGGAGTCATGAAATCGAAACTCTTCCCCCAATGTCAGCAAAGGATTCATCCGGTTTTAAATATATACTATTATTCTTTAACCGGATGATACTGAACTCCGGGCGACATACACAACCCGACCCGCAAAGTTGCCGCGTTAGGAGTCTAGGGGGGCGAAGGTGGGGAGCCCAAAAACAAACAACGCATCAAGAGACCAAAACAAAACTGAGCAGTGCGACGCCCAATCGTGACAAAACGATCCATTGCCAACGCAGACACAGAAAGAAGCATCCCGCAAGCAATGTCGCAGCGGAATCAGCACCTCACCGACGCCATGTTGCGAAAGGCTGCGACAACAACACCCAAACAATTCCAAACAACATGGTGCTTTGGCAAAGATTGGCAACATGCAGGCGGGGCTAGAGACCTTCAATCAGCAACCGTGTTCCCCGGAATCCTGCCATTCCGTTACACTTGCAAAAGTATTGCTTTTTGGTAAAGCTGCGCCATTTTTCGCAAAAAAAGTCACTGCAGCAATCTCATTTTCGGGGCCGTAAACACATTGGCTTTTTGGACTCCAAGAAGTGGTCCTCCCCAGTTGCGTTGAAAGCTTGCTGCTTAAACAAAACCCAACTTTGATTTACTTGCGTAATGTAAAGAGCTTCGTGTTTCGAGCAGGTCGCAAGGTTCCACACTGCCAAAAATGGGATTGCCACGCGCTACCGCTTTTCGCTTTGGACAGAACCATTTCGAGGCTGTTTTCAATTTCTATTTTAACTTGAGAGGGGGAACACGAAAGGTGGGTAAGCAAGAAAGGAACCGAAGAAAAAATGAAGGGGAGAGGGGAGGGAAAAATACATAAAGTGGAGTCTGGTAAAAGCGACGCGGCCATTTTCTTTCCAAAAATATGAAGGGGAGTCTGGTAAAAGCGACTGAAAGGCTTCGGCGATGTGGTTGGGGTTGGTGGTGGTTGTGGTGTTGGTGGTGTTGGTGGTGCTGGTGGTGTTGGTGTTGTTGGTGTTGTTGGTATTGGTGTTGTTGGTGTTGTTGGTGGTGGTAGTGTTTCTGGTGTTGTTAGTGTTGTTAGTGTTGTTGGTGTGGTTGGATTTGTTGGTGGTGTTGGTGTTGTTGGTCGTGTTGTTGGTGTTGGTATTGTTCGTGTTCGTGTTGTTGTTGTTGTTGTTGTTGCTGTTGTTGTTGTTGCTGCTGCTGCTGCTGTTGATGGTGTTGTTGTTGTTGTTGTTGTTGTTGTGTGTTGTTGTGTGTTGTTGTGTGTTGTTGTGTGTTGTTGTGTGTTGTTGTGTTGTTGTGTGTTGTTGTGTGTTGTTGTGTGTTGTTGTGTGCTGTTGTGTGTTGATGTGTGTTGTTGTGTGTTGTTGTGTGTTGTTGTGTGTTGTTGTGTGTTGTTGTGTGTTGTTGTGTTTTTGTGTGTTGTTGTGTGTTGTTGTGTGTTGTTGTGTGTTGTTGTGTGTTGTTGTGTGTTGTTGTGTGTTGTTGTGTGGTGTTGTGTGTTGTTGTGTGGTGTTGTGTGTTGTTGTGTGTTGTTGTGTGTTGTTGTGTGTTGTTGTGTGTTGTTGTGTGTTGTTGTGTGTTGTTGTGTGTTGTTGTGTGTTGTTGTGTGTTGTTGTGTGTTGTTGTGTGTTGTTGTGTGTTGTTGTGTGTTGTTGTGTGTGTTGTGGTGTGTTGTGGTGTGTTGTTGTGTGTTGTTTGTGTTGTTATGTGTGTTGTTGTGTGTTGTTGTGTGTTGTTGTGTGTTGTTGTGTGTTGTTGTGTGTTGTTGTTGCGTTGTTGCGTTGTTGTGTGTTGCGTGTGTTGTTGTGTGTTGTTGTGTGTTGTGGTGTGTTGTTGTGTGTTGTGTGTGTTGTTGTGTGTGGTTGTGTGTGTGTTGTTGTGTGTTGTTGTGTGTTGTTGTGTGTGTTGTGTGTGTGTTGTGTGTTTTGTGTGTTGTGTGTTGTGCGTTGTGCGTTGTGCGTTGTGCGTTGTGCATTGTGCGTTGTGCGTTGTGCATTGTGCGTTGTGTGTTGGTGTTGTTGTTGTTGTTGTCGTCGTTGTTGCTGTTGCTGTTGCTGTTGGTGTTGTTGGTGTTGGTGTTGGTGTTACCCCTGCAGCGTTTTTGCTCGGTTCCGTAGTGGCCGAAAATCGTCAAATCGGTGGTGTTTTCGCGTGTTTTTGCATCTCTCGGAGCAAAAAACACCGTAAATACCAATGTTTTTGGCGGGTCGGAAGCCCAAAACCACGGTATTTACGATGTTTTTTGCCTCTGGTAGTAAAAAGCACGGTATTTACAGTGTTTTTTGGCCAGCACCTAGCAAAAACAATGGTATTTACGGAGGTTTCACCATGTAGCAAAATGTGGTTTCTTGATCCGAAAAGAACAAAAATACTGTAAATTACAGTATTTTGAGTCTGCTCTTAGGGTGCGTGGGAGGTGTGGAGGGGGGGGGTACTAAAATGACTAGCAATCTCCTGAAGAATCAGGTAACGGGGCTGGCCGCCCTCCCCTTTACTTCGTAAAGTAAAACTCAAGGTAGCCCCTCTGGAGCTACCTTTCGTGATATCACTAATGGGTAAACGTATACATAGATGTAGAAAACCACTGGGTTTTCCTCAGAAAATGATCTGAAAAAATGGTGGCTTCATCTATGTCAACGTTTACAGGAGGCTAACTGATAAACGGTTAAGGAATATATCATGGGATTATTTTGGGTATATAACTAATAAGATAATTGGATAATTAAAAAAAAAACGGATAAAAAAAATGGATAATTCCCTAGTTATATCCCCATCCGATAGTCAAACATGGCAAGCTGGGAAACTCCCATCATAGAGGTGTTGATGGGAAAATCAACTATACTTCGGGATTTTCCGTCTAGCCTGGTTTGATTACCAGAGGGTAACTGATAAGCAGTTTTCTAACATGTTTTTCACCAACAAAACACGCTTTTTGGGGGGTTGAAGCACCAAATTGATCACCCACTTGTATTGGTTAAACCCCCATCTTTACTCCTGAAACCATGCAAATCTTGGCCAAAGACGCCCTTCTGCCTAGTAAACACCCCGCCTGCCCATGGTTTTATGTTGGGATTTACACATTCCGATTGGGACCATACAACGAGGGTGTAAAAAAATATTACAGTAGGGGGTGGGAGTAACCATCTGTTCCAACCATTATCAAACAGTCTATTCACCACCAAAAAAAACATGAGAATTCATCATTCTCAGCTACTATCTTAGCCAATTTGAACCACCATTGTAACTTGGTTAGTGGTTTCAACCCATCTGAAAATATGAGTTCGTCAGTTGGGATTATGAACTTCCCAACTGGAAAAATCATCCATTCATGTTCCAAACCACGAGTCAGCCAATCAGTCACTCATGAAATAAAGAAAAACATTCGCCAAGTACTTGATGGTTGGGAAACTCTAAGTAGCTCCTTGGCTCCCCATTGAATAGGGAATATATAGGGAATATGAATACCCCTAGCTCCTTAGCTCCTTAGCTCCCTCCAAACCACTGGATAGCCAAGTACTTGGGGGATGTGATCTACCCCCCCCTTTTTAAGGGCCCCACCTTTCCACGCGTCTGCATAGGCCGCCGCCGTCCCTGCCGTCACCACCGTGGCGGTTGACGTCGACTGCACCGCTTCGTAGGCGCCCGGGCACAGCGCACGGCAGAGGACGTGAACGTCGGGACTCCTGGTGGAGAAAAACCATGGGAAAACACGAGAAAAACCATGGGAAAACAGACATGGAGGCGTCAACTAATGAAATTCGGATGACCAAAATATGGAGATTGAACCAACGCAAAATCTCCATAACCTGACAAAATGGGATTTTGGATTTTGATCAACAAAGTCCGATCTTAACCAACAAAATTGAGATCTTAGCCAGCAAAAAAACACTTTAGACAACTCAAATGGGATTTGATCATCAAAATAAGATATGAATCAACAAAATTGGGAGTTTAAACGGAAACTTAGCCGGCGATAAATCGAAATTTAACTGAGGCTTTTACATTTGGGCCAGATATGAGAGTCTCACCCACAAATCTCATAGGGTAAGTGGCATGACATGTGAAGACTAAATTGGAATATCCGGCAAAGGAATTTTACTGGATCACCGGCGGCAAAACTCTGTTGCGAAGACTGGTGGTTAAGCATCAAAATTGTGGTGTCTAATAAACTGCAATTTACAAAAATCCCGAGACGCAAGGGAGGTTTCAAGGTTTCATCTACCATCTGGTGATTTAACATAGCCATGGAAAATTTACCCATTTTTAATAGGTAAACCATCTATTTCTATGGGCCATCTATACCATGGCTATGTTAAATAACCAGAGGGTACATCAAGACTCATGTAGAGAAATGCAGTAAACCCAATCATCAACCTACCATTTGGGGATCGTAAAATTATTGAGTTTACAATGGGTTTACCACATTAACCAATAATCAAAGCTGGTTGGTGGTTGAGCCACCCCTCTGAAAAATATGAGATCGTCAGTTGGGATTATTCTTCCCAACTGAGTGGAAAAATAAAATTAATGTTCCAAACCACCAACCAGGAAGGGATACCCTCTGGTTATGACTAACATAGCCATGGAAGCCATGGCCCATAGAAATAGATGGTTTACCTATTAATAGCATGGGTGGATTTTCCATGGCAAACTGTGAATGTCATAACTGTGAATTATCCCATTGAAACATCACCACTATCATCCCCTTAAATCACCAAATAACCAGAGGGTATATCAATAACCAGAGGGTATATCATTCATGATATTCTACCTGTTGGTTGTTGAAATGGTTAGGAAGCCTCTATTACTTTATTCATTAACCAATAATCAAAGGGATATATCATATATCTATATGATGATCCCATTGAAACATCACCCGCAATCAACTTCAACCACCATCGATTCAGGAAGGATTCACCTGCCACAAACCACAAACCGCTGCCTAGCGGGTTGTGCCATCTACGAGAGGCTCAACAGGATTCAAACAATGTAAAATTAGTGGTTAATATATGATAAAGCCATTATGGCTACCACTAATTTATACTAATTTCATATCACATTTACCTAGAAATGATTTTGCCAACCATAAAATTAGTGGCCTTAGCCACTAAAGATGTGACAAAAACAAACATGAACGAACCATATGTGGAGATTTGAAGCGACCAAATATGGGATCTGCCGGCCCACCTGTGGGTAGCGCAAACGCTGAAAGGTCGCGCAAAGTGCCTAGTTCCAGCCGAAAAAAAACGAAAACCCAAATGAATTCCCTGGTTTTGATGGGTTTTTGAATATAAAAACCAGAACTCCCATCCACCGATTTTTTTGATGTCCATACGGGTCGATCTTGGGGCATGACCCATTTGTTGTAAAGCGTAAACCCCCATGTTTTTGGCAAGTTAAACCGCCAATTTTGTTGGTTAAAACCCCCCATTGAGTGCTGCGCCCCTTTTTGTGGCTAGTTATTCTCAATCTAATCCCAATGTTCAATGATTGAAACCAGGTGAAATCCATTTTAATCTTCATTTTCGGTGCTTAAAACCTGTATAAAAAAGTGGTGTGTCACAGCGGAACTTCCAACCGAATGTGTCCAGGAACAGCAGTTCCACGCTCGAACCCTTTGAACCCGAAGTCCAGCTCACTGGGATGGGAGCGCCTGAGGCCATCAAAATGCTGGGATTTTCCCATCAAAAATAATGAATGTCTATTCTGTCAGGTGGGGTTAAGCCCCAAAATTTATAAATGCCATTAGCATAGACATGATGTCTACAAGTAGAGCCCGGGCAAGCCGGGCCGCAGAAGTTTCGAAGACGTGAAAAACCAATATTGAAAATGGAAAGCCTATAGGAAGGCTGCGAGGCCCCCTGGTTCCCAAAGCCGTTGTCTGCTTCAATTTTCTTGACGTCTCTTTCTCTTGGAAACGGTTTCTTTTGATATTCCTTTCTCTTGACAACCTTCTTCTGGTCTCAGAGCCAAGGCAAAACAGTGCGAGGTTGAAGCAGTTTTGAAATTAAAAGGAAAATGATTAGCGCCAAAAACAAATAAACACCAGAAAATCAATCGCGAGCAGTTTACACCATGGAACACAGAGGCAGCAACCCACGGAACCGTGACGCAGCCGTTCCACCGCGATCTCACCAGGACTGCCACGCGCTGTGCAGATGAACGATGAACATGGTATGGAATGACGAACTCAACATGTCCCCCGAATCAGATTGCAAAACCAGGCCTATAAAATGCTGGAAGGTCCAAGAAGAAAGGTACGAATGAAGGCACATCAAGCTGCTCATGAGTCAACATCCAAACTACCGAAGCCAGCACACAAACCATCCGCAAGTTGCAATCCCCCCCATCATCATCAGCGAGCCAGCGCTTAAAAGCCAAATCTGATGGAGCATGGTAAAGACAAAACGAAGATCTCTTGTTTTTATATATGTCTGTCCTTCTCTGCTGTCTTCACTTCTCCGCCTCTGCTCCTTCACTTCTCTACTCTCGTCGCTTCTCTGCTCTCTTCACTTCCGTACTCTTCACTTCTGTACCTGCTTCACTTACAGTATGTACGTTATTCACTTCTCTCTCCCCTCTTCTCTGCTCTCCGCACTTCCCTGCTCTTCACTTCTCTACGTTCTCACAGTTTTACAAATCACAACAGAGTTTAGACTTCCAAACTTCCTTTGTTAGTATAAACACAGACTTGCCAAAGTCTATCACCGGAAAAGCAAGGCCCCAATCACTGCAATTGTGAAAAAAGGACCGTACCCCAATAGCTGGATTGTTTACAATGGGAAATCCCATTTAAAATGGATGATAATCTTAGATACCTGGCAAAAAAAAAACAGCTGACAAAAGTTGATATTCCCATTGAAATCGCAAAAGATTAAAGGATTAAACTAGGTACCGGCGCTGATAGCGGACCCAGTGTTTTTAATGTGTTTTATTTCAATCATTATGTATGGATTTGTTTAAAACAGTGGCGCTGTGCGATTTTGTTATTTTACCCAGAATTAGAAATGTTGTTTTCGTCCCACGTTACGCTAGGAAATTATTCATTGATCATTGAATTCTATTGGGCTAAATAATTGACAAATGTGGATTTTGGAAAACGAAACCTCCAAAGCTTTTGAAGCTCGGCTTTTTTCCTTCATGGATTCAGCGTTTGCGTTTGTTGACCTTTGCACACAAGTTGGCGAGGCTTCCTTTCAAGTCCTCCTTGTGGTTCCAACGATAGGCGAAGGACCACACATATTGTTGGATTCTTTGAGAATCCTTCCTGGTAACTTTGTCTTTGCTATGGACCGAGAAGGGTACGAAGCGCTTCAGGTGGCGCCAGACATTGTCCAGCAACTGTGTTCCACTGATGCGTACCTTTTGTTTGACGTTGGTTTTTCGAGTGAACTCCATCTTGTAGCGTGTCACATCGCGGAAGCAAAGGCGATGCCGTTTGCACTCAGATTTCCAACTCTTTGCACCATCCCCATATACAGTGCAAGGACGTTTCAACTGCCTAAGAAATCCGGTTTTTCGAACATCTCGCAGAGACTCTGTGGCAGGACATGATCCAGGCTGCAACAAGATGTGATCGAGTTGGCACAGAAGCAAGCGTCCTCCTTCTCCACGCTCCACGCAACCAACCCAACGCGAGTGTGTGAGGAAGTAGATGGGTAATGGTTTCTTCTTGCATCCTGAGAACATGTTACAGCGTAGCATCCAGAGCGTCTGGCAAGTGACAAGAGACATGTTACAGCGTACCCTTTGCCCCCCCACCCCTGTTTTTGTTTCGACCTAATACCTACATAGGTACATGCATGAGTATTGAGCACATTTATATGCGCCCTTCAAGGCTCAAGAGGTATATAGAGTAACCCTGTAGACAAGCACGGACCGGCAACAGGCTGAGTAAAACAAGTGCTGTCATTGGGGAAGACGCCTTAGCTGATCTTGAAGTAGACGCTAGGGCCCCTCTTCAAGTGGTAGCGGAGCTGTGATCCCTCATTGAGGGTGAGCTCCAGGTAGAGCCCAAGCAATGGCAAGCCATGGCTATGATGATGATGACTTCGACATTGTCGATGCAAATGAATGGAACCAATATGACTCTTATGCAATGAGAAGAGCACCCCAGCAAACACAGATTCATATGACGCAACAGATGACCACAAAGGTTGCTCCAGCCTATGATGGGCGAACCAGCTTCTTTGCTTTTGAGGATGCAATCGATGACTGGTGTGACATTACGGAGTTAGAACCAGAGAAACGTGGTCCAGCATTGCGCAACAGACTGGAAGGAGATGCTCAACAATACAAGAGGCTATTGGATAGAGAATTACTCAGGGATCCCTATGAAGGAGTGGCTTATTTCAAAAGATTTCTACGACCTCATTTCATCAAAGGTGCCCAGAACGTGTTCTTATACCGTTTCATGCAGTTCATGAAGTTCAACAGAGGAACCATGGATCTTCAGAAGTGGATGACTAGATTTCAACTCACTGGCAATAGACTTATTGAGTCTTGGATGGATTTACTTCCAGAAGTAACAGTGACTAGTCCTGAAGCAATCCTGTTTGTTCAACAACGACGTCAAGAACATGAACGAGATCAACAAGAGAGAGCTGAAGTAGCAGCAGCCTCAGGAACACCCCATGTAGCTGTTCCTTGGACAGATGAACTGGCACTAGCGGCATTCAGACAATTTCAGGAAAATCGTAGAGAAGCACAGCGACAAGCATTCCCACTGGGTGAAAATTTGCTAGCATTGATTTTTGTAAGTCTAGCTGACCTGAGTCAAGATCAGAGAAACACACTCACAAGTATCATGACACATCGTGGACGAACCCTCGATCGATACAGCATTCAAGAACTACGTGACCTGTTTTTGGAAATGTTTTGCACTACCAAAACAGCAGTTGACAATCCATTGATGCAACCCTCTGGCATGGCACAGAGAAGATCTTTCCTCGTACTGGATGAAGGTGAATTAGAAGGAACCGACGGCTATTGGGCCGAAGATGAAGAAGACGGCGCAGAAGGATTCCTGGATGCTTTAGAAGATGTTTTCTGGGTTTATGATGACGCCAACTTCACATGGTATCAGAGAAGGTTCCAAGGCAAATACATCAGACGAGGCAAAGGTAAAGGAAAGAGAAAAGGAAAGGAAAAGGCAGAGGAGGACGAAGATTCTTTCGATCAAGGAAAGGAAAAGGCCGAGGAAAAGGAAGAAGGAAAGGCCGTGCTCACATGGTGAGTGAAGAAGATTATGAAGATGAATGGCAAGAAGATGAATGGAATGAAAACTATGACGGCTATTGGGCCGATGATCAAACCTGGAATGAAGGCTATTGGGCCTATGACGATTCATACTACATGGATGAGTATGGATACTTCCAGAGGAAAGGAAAAGGAAAAGGAAAAGGAAAGAAAGGCAAGAAAGGCAAGGATGATGATGGAAAAGGAGGAAAGCCAGGAGATGGAAAAGGCAAGTCGAACTATGTTCAACCTCAGACCACATCAGCTCCTGCCATACAGAATCAACCAACTCAACAAGCTCATTATTCTTCTGCAGCTTCAAGTTCTGGTCATGGTTTCTTTTCATTTGGAACAACTGAACCAGCACGTGTTGATGTTGCAGAGACAGAGCCAGCACGTGTTGATGTTTTGACATCCACGTATGCAGCACAAGATGAACAACGACGCACTCGTCGTGGAGGACAGAACCAACGTGATGCAAGAGCACAGCAAAACAGGAGAGAAATGAAGAGATTCCCTGTTCTGGTTGGAGAAGTTGGTGCACTACGACAAGGTGTACAACAACGTCCAGCTGTAGTGCCCAGGCAAGTTGGTCTTCAAGAAGGTGAGGCTTCATGGAAGCCATTGGCAGAAGGCACATCATTGTTTTCACATGGATGCTCTACAGAGATAGAGGAACCATCACAGCAGAGTGCTTTTTCATTTCATACTGTACAAACTGATCTGGCATGTGAGAATGGACTAGCTTTTCACACAGAGAATTCTGCACCACCAACTGTGTGTATTCTGGATCTTGGATGCACAAGAGCTATGGGCTCTCGACGAGCAGTTGAAGCATTTTGCAGATATGTTGACTCACATCCCAACAGTGGACTCTGGTATGAAATTCAGCCAACAAGTTCAAGATTCTTCTTTGCAAACTCACAACAATCAAAATGTACTGAGAAGCTCGTGATATTCATGTATGATCATGGATGGAACACTCAGTTTACAGAATTCGACATTGTCGAAGAAGGTGATGTCCCATTGTTGATGTCACTTCCACAGATGAGAAACCTTGGATTTCAATTTGAACTTACTCCAGAGAAGGCTTATTTGTCCTGTGCACGTATTGGCATGAGAAAAATGGTTTTGAGGACAGCCATCAGTACTCATCTCATTCTCGACCTACAAGATGTAGCATGGTACATGAGCCAAGTTCATTTCAAGACTCCACAAGTCAAAAGTTTCTATTCACAACACGATCACTTTGAGTACAGTCAGATTGCTGTCAAACAAGATGATCATGAAGGAGAAGCTTTGGTGACTGGTGACTACTGGCAGGTTGATCCACTACGTCGTGAACTCATCAGGCACCACAAGGACAAGAGAATGAACTTACATGAGATGACTCGATCAGAGAAAACTCCAATTCCAAAAGATCAAC